CTGTCCCTCAGCTCTTCAGCTCAAGGCAGCACTCTACCACTTGAGCCACAGCGCCACTTCCGGCTTTTTTTTTCTGGTTATGTGGTGCTGAGGAATCGAACCCAGGGCCTCAGGCATGCAAGGCAAGCACTCTACCACTGAGCCACCTTCCCAGCCCAAGTTAACCCTTCTTAATGAGGTAGAAATAAATATCTTCCATGATAAACAAAGCTAAAGGAATCCATGATGACTTAACCAGCACAGAAGAAACTTAAAGGAATTCTAGTCACAGAAGGAAATAATAAGCCAGGAAAATACAGGAAAGAATAAATCCTGCTAGAAGAAATTAGCCAAGTAAGAATAAGAAAGTAACAAGAAAGCTGGGCGCCAGTAGTTCATGCCTGTAATCCTAGCTACTCAAGAGGCTAAGATCTGAGGATCGCGGTTCAAAGCCAGCCTGGGCAGGAAAGTTCATGAGACTCTTATCACCAATTAACCATCAGAAAAAGGGAATGATGATGTGGCTCAAGTGGTAGAGTGCCCAGGCCCTGAGTTCAAGTCCCAAGACTGACAAAAAAAAAAAAAAGAATTACTTAAAATCTAGTAACAATAAAGTCAGGTGTTCAAACTTACAATCCTACCTACTCAGGAGGCTGAGATCTAAGGATCATGGTTTGAAGCAGCTATTCAGGAGGCTGACATCTGAAGATTATAGTTTGAAGCCAGCTTGGGCAGGAAAGTCTGAGACTTGTACCTGCAATTAACAAGCAAAAAGCCAGAAGTAGAGGCATACCTCAAGAGGTAGAGCACCAGCCGTGAGCAAAAAAGCTAAACAAGAATATGAGATAAGCCAGGTGCTGGTGGCTCACCTCTGTACTGTAATTCTAGCTATTCAGGAGGCTGAGATCTGAGGATTGCAGTTTAAAGCCATCCCAGGCAGGAAAGGCCGTGAGACGCTTATCTACAATTAACCAGCAGAAAACCAGAAGTAGAGCGGTGGCTCAAAGTGGCAGAGTGTTAGTCTTGAGCAAAGGGTTCAGGGACCATGCCCAGGCCCTGAGTTCAAGCCCCACAACCAACAACAACAAAAAGGAGCAGAGCATGAGGTTCAGAACACTGGCAAATAAACAAACAAAAAAAAACAGTGCTAATGCTGGAGTCCAACCTAGAGGATGTATTCACGGTGCCTGTTTCAATTTTTCTATATGCTGAAAAACTGTGTATAGGGTTGAAAACATGTAAGCATCATACAGAGACAGGTTTATTTGCAACCTTCATGATTAATGCCAGTCAGAGCATCGTACAGGCTCAAGATGCAGAGTATGTGCTGCGATGACACTCACCGACAGACTGGGAGTTGAATGCTGTCACAATCTGGGGGCTGGCCAGGGCCTCCAGCCTGTTCTTCAACGCCTCCAAGTGCACACACTTTTCGGAGTAGTCTGGGGTATCCACAAGTATCATCAAGCTGTTCTGCATACCAATGAGCTTGGCAGAAATCACAGCTGTATCCTATAAAAAGACCAGGATGGGGACATGTATTTTAAAGACTCTTACTAGCTCCATATATGAAAGGACCTAAAATTAAATGGTCCAGAGATATTACATTCAACATTACTGGTACTGAAATAAATGCAAAGTAAAACAACGAAGGGCCATTTTCCTTAGCCAATTGGGAAAGCCTCTGAAAAATCACAATGTCCATTACTGGTAGAGAGCAAAAGGAAAATGACCATCTGCAGCCATAGTGAATGTGCCACCGGCTTACTGAAAGGCAGCTCAGCAACAAGTGGAGAGTTTTAAAAATACTTAAAATAAGCCAGGCACCGGTAGCTCACACCATAATCCAAGCAACTCAAGAGGCTGAGAGCTAAGGATCGAAGTTCAAAACCAGACTGGGCAGGAAAGTGTATAAGATGCTTATCTCCTTGTTTCTAACATATATATAAGATTATGTCTTTGTTGCTTTGTATGTCCCTCCCCCATGGTATAACCCCTGGTTTCACTGTATTTGATGTTGGTATATGTGGAGGAGAAGGGAAAAAACAAATCGTTAAAACAGGGATACAGGAGGACCCATTGCAACAATGAGATGTACAAGTCGTTAAACTTTACAACTTTGGTGGGGGGGGGATGTGGGATGTGAAGGGATAGGAAGGGGAAACAAAGGAGGAGGCTACAATGCTTGATAAGAAATATACTCATTATCTTGCCCATGTAATTGTAATCCCTCTGTACAGTATTTTCACAGTAAAAAAACACGTTTATAAAAAATAAATAAAAATAAATAGTACTTAAGAAATTAAAAAAAGATGCTTATCTCCAATGAACTACCAAAAACCAGAAGTGATGTTATGGCTCAAAATGGTAGAGCACTAGGCTTGAGAGCAAAAAAAGCTCAGGGTCAGCAAGCACCCCAGACCCTGAGTTCATTCCCCAAGGCAGACAACAAAATGTATTTTTTTTTAAATAAAATTCAGGTAGATATTTTTCTTTTTTTTTTTTTTTGTCGGTGTGGGGCTTGGACTCTGGGCCTGGGCGCTGTCCCTCAGCTCTTCAGCTCAAGGTTAGCGCTCTACCACTTGAGCCACAGCACCACTTCCAGCTTTTTCTGCTTATGTGGTGCTGAGGAATTAAACCCAGGGCCTCATGAATGCAAGGCAAGCACTCTACCACTCAGCCACCTTCTTAGCCCCTCAGGTAGATATTTGAAAGCCGAATTTGAATATTTTATGAAGTAAATTAAGATATTTAAAGTAAAAAAAAAATTAGGGGCTGGGAAGGTGGCTCAGTGGTAGAGTATATGCCTTGCATGGAAGGCCCTAGGTTTGATTCCTCAGCACCACATAAGCAGAAAAAGCTGCAAGTAGCACTATGGCTCAAGTGGTAGAGCACTAGCTTTGAGCTGAAGAGCTGAGGGACAGCAACCAGGTCCAGAGTTCAAGCCCCATGACCAATAAAATTTTTTTTTAAAGATGAGCTGGAGGTAGTGGTTCATACGTGTAATCCCCAGCACTCAAGGTGTGGCAGGAAGATCGTAAGTTCCAGACCAGTTTGGGCTCCATAATGAGGCCCTGTTGAGAAAACCCAAATGGAGAACACACTCCTCATTCTCCTCTTTCCACGCGATCCAGGGCAATGTAAGACCTGAGCTTACATCTATGAGGCCAGCAATAGTTAAACCCATGAAGTACCCAAGGGCTAGATGGGGGAGGGGACAAACAGGGCTTCCCTTCCTGAAGACCTTAATAATTGACAGGGGAACAAGAGGCAAGCAGTGGCAAGCAGTGCTCAAGATGAGGGACTGTTTGTGAGAAGAAGGCCTGTGTGGACGGACAGCAAGTGTAAAGCTGCTAAGAGTTTCTGTCAAAAGCCAGGTGCTAGTGATTCACGTCTGTAATCCTAGCTGCTCCTGAGATCTGAGGATCATGGTTCAAAGGAAACCTGGGCAGGAAAGTCTATGAGACTCTTATCTCTACTTAACAACTAACAAGCTATAGCTCAAGTGGTAGAACACTAGCCTTGAGCACAAAAGCTTAGGATAGAACCAAGACCCAGAGTTTAAGCCCCTGCACTAGCACCAAAAAAGAGGGGGGGTGAGGAGGAGGAAGAGGAGGAGGAGTAAAAGAAGAAACTAAGTGTCTGT